CCGTTGTGTGTCGAGTGTCATGTTTAATATATATTTTTTGTACATATCGCCGGAAATTGATTCGGTTGAAACTATCCGGGTGCTAATTGGAACAACTGGCTCGATATGTTTGTACAAGGAAATTGAACTTATGCGGGGAATGTGGCCGCGACTCTTTGAACGTGGAAACTAGGATAACTAGATGTGTTTGCTTAGAAACTTCTCGAACGTTCGACTTCACGGATCTTCTTTGAACCCTTTTCGTATATAAAGTACTTGTAAGTTTCCAGTTAGTTGGTATTGGTATTCTGCGCTCAACTTTTGATGAATGGTGTTACTTATGTGGCTCAAGGTTGATATTTCATTTATCACTTGTAATTAAGTTAGAAAACTATTCATACTCGCGTTTAATTACTAGATGCCTCAATACATGACGTGTAAATGAAATTCCACCAGCTTCGCATAGAGGGCACGGGTCACTAACGCGGTCTTGACCCCTTGAATTATGACGTATTTTATCAAGATTTACAGATTTTTACCTGGATAAAGTAAAGCCGACGTGATAATGATTTTTGACAAATGTGTTATGACCGCCATTCATCAACAGAGCTTTTCGCTATAGATATGGAGATAAGATGGCTGAAATTAATCTATGAGTATTTTTATTTACGTACGTCTACTTTCTTTAAATTAAGGACTTTAATATTCACCTTACGCATGACGACAGAACAGTCGCATGATAATCTACAAAACATCTGTTCGATTATGAGACATTATGCTTTTGCAAATAAACCCTAAACAACTAACTTTTTAAACTGAATGTATCTTTCAACCCTACAATACACCTATCAACACGAACAGGAAGCCACCTCAGCGATTTGAAACGTTAAAATGTTGAAATATAGTAAGTGCTCATGCATGCACGTAACAATCTGAAGATATGAAACCGGTACCACTAGATATCGCGGTGTGTGCTACATCTGAACATGTGTTCAGGTGTTAGGTCCTGGCGTTGTGCCAGGCAACAGTTCCATACAGACAAAAGTAGATTTTTCAATGCTACGTATTTGCTTTTGAGTACTTACATTGTTACGATGTTCAAAGAAGTTTGAGAAAAGTAATTTACTCAATGTAAAGCGTAAGGAAAATTCAATGTGAAGGCTGAAAACCTAGATTACTATCTCTTTGAACACAAACGAACAGAAAACGCTAAATCGGGACCTATACAAAGCTCGAAATCATTGACTCAAACAATAGATAACCAGTGCTCAGCATCCATAGCGGTATGACAAGGACGACAGACAAATGAACGCGAATAAACAACTCGATAGATCTGTAAGGCTGTCAATACAACCCGCCGCGCAGATCCACTCCACAGGAAAAACGGTAGTACCAAAATAAATGGTAAAATTAGTGTTCATTTGGCCATATTTAGTCATTGTTTAAGTACTTAAATATTGGATGTTATAAGCTTTGGACATTTTAGGCTGTGACAAAATTTTCACATATACCTCTAAATAAATATTGCTGTAGTGTCTACCTGTTTCAATCGTCTGGCTATCTTAAAATACTTGCTCCAAAGTATCTACTTTTTCTCTTTTTACTGAATAAGAGAGTAAGTTAACCTTCTTATTACATTTCCGAGCGTGGTCAGGTTACGCCACAGGGTGCAAAGTGCGCCGTGGACGATGACACCGAGGGAGTTAGGATAGGGACCACCCACCGTGCACTATTACTAGAAATGGTATCAGCAGAATTGGGCCAATGAAGTGAGGATCACTTGCTCCCATATTTATTGGGTGTTTAGGCTGTATTGCTTCTTAAATGGATATGTGCTGACATTTGTACGACAAACAGGAAATATGAAAAATATTTTGAATGGCACGAGGGTTAGGTGCCTTAGAAATATTTGGATATCGATGTTCAATAGCGCTAAAGGGTTTAGGCGAATTGTATTTTCTTCGTTGAAATTCCTAAAAATATTTTCTTAAGCTTTCGTTGAATAAGTAAGCAATCGTTTTTGTGAACTAAAAATGATTTGAAAACAAATAGAGAACGTAACAGTTTGTTATAATAATTTGTTTTCTTAACAACTCCGCACACTTCAACGTCCCCTTCATCTTCCCATCTATCTATCCTCGGCAGTTTGTTGTTATTTCATTAGTTTACTCGAACCGAATGCAATACAAATGCGACGAGTGCTGCTTCATTTGTTTTACTTCCATATTCTCTTCACCCTTATCTTCTGGCTTTTATCCCAATTTTTTTAGGATCTTCACAATACGTCTTCTTTTCTACCAGACGTCTTTCATCGCGTCTCCAACACCTTCCTTTGTATCCTTCCTTATATTATTTATATCTGTTCATTGGTCATCTTAATTTTATCCATTTTAATTTAATTTATCACTTGCTTTGTTGCGTTTTTCGTATATCGCTCAAGAAGAACTTAATATCATTTCATTATATTATAGTCCAGGTGCATAACCTCTTATAATATGCTACAGATCTACATTAGTGGTCGTCATTATCCTCTCACATACCCCGTACGTTGCATGCATGGCTAATTGAATGTCACTCAGTATATTGAATGCCTGACTCTGACAGCGTTTTGCTTACACAATAGCCTCCACGCAAAAAGGCTTTTATAGCGAAATAATTAACCATAAAACTTTAATTATAACCGTCACCAATGATCACGTTTATGCTAAACTAACTAGTTTTAATTGACTTCTGTGCCTAGCTATGGCTCGTGGGGTTATGATTATTACAATATTAAAATGTACCTATTTAAACTATTTTAATATCGGCCCGAAATGAAGTACAAATAACTATAATTGAGAATTGTAAAACATAAAATTTCATAGCACTCAATTTCACAGAAGTACGAGTGCTAACACTCAATTTACAACTTTAATACAAGATATGAGAACATGAAATACCTTTTCCCCCACTCGCGGCGTCCCAGCTTTATCTATCGACGTGCCTGCAGACAGAGAAGGCTTTGGAGATATCCTCCTTAATTTACAGCCTCAAGTGTGGAACCCTGATCGATTTATTGGACGGATATAACTTGGATACATTAGATTGGATGATAACAACTTTGATCCGGTTAAAAGTCGACTCAAAGGATCCCGAGCTACACTGATTAACTTACTTTCATGTACGTTAAAGAAAGTACCGTGTGTCGAAAGAAAGTACCTATCTTGTGTCTGCAAAGATGTTTTCCTTGTCGTAAATCTCCGGACACCGATTTTATAAGTTTATGAAGATTGCGATGTAAAAATAGTCGTGTCTGCTTCCCGTATAATATTTACGAGCGTGTTTTAAAACAAGAAATTTATAATAAGGATTATATTATGCTTAAAGTTATTGCTTATTATGGAAAATCCAATACATACCAAGCTTAATCGATATTCATCATTTATGATAAAAACTCTGTTTCGTGTATCAAGCCACAAATTATTCACAAATATACTTCAAGGTGATGTTGAGAGTATTTCTACCTGTAGTGTAGAGAATTTTTACAGCAACTTAGATTGCAAGCCACCTATAAAACAGAGACGTGCAGGCACTAAAGCATACCCTATGTACCTGTGATCTAGGAAATGCGCTCCTTCTTTGGGTGCATTAACATTTCAGTACATCTTGTCGCGGCCAAGAAGTTACATGCCTTGTTTTTATAATAACTTTCGTGAGACATACTGAATTCATTAAAAAAAATGGAAGTTACTAACGTGAATATACTGAGAAAAGCTCTACTAGTTTCGAGTCACAAAGGGACTCTGTCACATGGGCGGTCGCGGCAGAGATGCAGTTATAATCCTATTTGAAAAAATAATAACTATGAATATGATAAATACTTGTCTCATCTTACCGATGTTCATCATTATTCATAATGACCCAACTACAAACTACTTGTGACAGCAATATTTGAAAAATTGTAGTAAAGTAAACATTTAACATCTTTACAGAGCATAATGTGGAAACTGTGGTTAATACTCGGTATAGTTAGTCTCCATTATTAAAATATTAAGGAGTACCGCTTGCTCGTATAATTCACGGAGATAGAAGGGAGATTGTTAATTAACTGCTAGAATATGCGAAGTCCATTTGCCAAGTTTCTGTATTCTGTCCACTGGTCTTACCCGCTTGAATTATATCGCGACTTTACAAAAGAACTTCATAATAACCACGTTCATAAACCAAACTATCCGTTTTCACTATTTGAAATGTGCATAACATATATGCTATTGATTTTCCTGTACACCTGTCGCTCCTATCAGCACTTTTGTAGGACTTAATCTGATTGCACACCGCTAAAATATCGATACGTGTAAATGAATCGGAGAGCAATACATCTATGGCGAGCACTACTCGCGAAATCCTGTGAAATCAATTTATTTGTCCAGCGAATTTTGTACTATTGAAATTAAAAACGTGGACATTTTAACCATTTTCTTTACACGTCACATTGACCAAAGTAATTAAAATGGAACCACGAAAATAAATGCAGCCGGCAAATTGTATTTCCACGACGTTTCCTATAATTATAATATGCAAATGAAAGCGACCATTAAAAGCAAGTTCTCCAATTTGCAAGTTGAAAACTCGGGCAAAGTCAGCCAGGGTAGGAAAAACGTACGATTGAGAGAATTCGTCTTAATGGTTCAGTTGGAATCAAACGTTGACTTTGTACTGTTGTTATGAAGACAGCCACATGCTGGTGTTTGCGAGTCTCGGTGGAGCGCTGGAGGTTCGTTCCGTGTCAGCCCCGCGACCTCGTTCATCCCCCGAGAGGCTTAAACTTACTTTGTGGTGCACCTGCGCCTGTCTAGCCTCAAATCTTCTTAGCCTCACTCGGATAAAGTGATTTTTACAACTTCCTTTTAAAAGTCCCGTAGATTTAAGTTTACGTGTTTTCGCCGGGTATTATTAAGTTATGAATTTTCTAACCAGTTTGTTCTTATTAGGTATTGTGATTTTAGACATCTCTAAAGCTACATTTGTCTGTTTGTCCACAGGAATTCGCGACTCTTACAAAAGAGCTCAACCAAGCACGAGAACAGCTCCTCGAGAGGGAAGAGGAGATATCAGAGCTCAAAGCGGAGAGAAACAATACCAGGGTGAGTTGCACGAACGTTTTATGAACTAATCTTCAAAATATTATAACGTCAATAACTCGTGACCTCAGTGTGCGAGGAGTTAATATAAAGTTGACACCGCAACGACACAGTTGTTTCGTGGTCCGGATGAAAAGTGCTCGTCACGTAAATAACCTTTAAAGAGCAGACGAGAAACCGCTTACAGTGCTCAGCCAAGCAGACGCTGCACTGGAGCTTCTTGCACCAATCTCTCACATATTTACAATTTTCACTTTCAAATTATTTTCGTCGCAATAAAATGTTACTTGCACTCTCCAGAGATGCATTTGCTACTCAGCGAGTTAGGTGATTGCATTACTTAGTCTTATGATGAAATACCAAGTCAGACTAATCAGCTTTGGCGTTGTATTGTAAATATCCTCACCGGATTCTGTATGTAAAATTACCTTATTTCAAATTTTAGAAAAGTGCAGCGTTTTCTGTAACAAATTTTTGAATAACAAAAAATTGCTATAGTAGGTAGGTATTCCGACGAATAATGTGGTCATAAGTCACCCTTTACGAGCACTTGAACAATCTTCTCTTAGCTCTTGAACTAAGCCTTTGACTTATTGCAAGTCTTAAAAACACAATCATCTAATCGAAATGTGTCATGGTCCTGGTCATGAAATTCATAGAAGACTCCACACATAAATTTATAAACTTTAGTATCATGTAAGATATCCTCTGCCTCATACTAGAGATCCTCTTCAAAATCCACGAACTATAACTAAAGCCGATTATGACAGTATAACACTGCCCTCAATATATCAACAAACTGATGACTACAATACTTTCGTATTAAACGTCTTAAAACTTCATATAAAAGGTGCTCCAGCTATTCGCTGAAAGGCGTTGAATAATTCACGTCGATCCACGTCTAGAACACGCCCCACCCATAGGTCTCTAGGGCTTAGCGCTTGATTGAATTCGACATACTAACTAGATTATCACTTATCAAATACTCCTTCACCAAAAAGTTTTATATCAAGTGTGTCGAACGCCTAACCAAAACCCGAAATCGATTTTAAATGAGCGGTCCCGTAGGAAGTCCATTAAATATTTCACATCATGCATAGTTAATTCATTTGTTTTTAAAGTTGGGATAAAAGCTTATGTTTTAAGTGTGCCATTATTGTTCAAATAATTAATGGCGGGTCGGTTGACGCTGTATTCTGACGATTGGTTCCACCTTTTATGTTTTAATAGATAAGTAGCTTAAACTGTCAAACACCAAGCGGTCACCGGTGACCGCAACCTATTGTTCTATAATTGTGTCTACAAAACCGGTACTCGACGAGTTAAACGTTGCTTTGACAATGTTTCGAACTTCTGTTTGGTGCATATGGATCACATTTTGACCTCACCAAGATCATATCAAAAAGTAACAATAATGTAATTTGTCAACATCTTTTCTCTTTACTTCTTTATACCTATGTAATGTCTTCCTGTCTGGAGTGCACGTGTATCCTCGCCTCCTGTTTATCACAAAGGCTCTCGTAACGCAAGTTGGCTACAATCAGCCACTAATCTCTTTATCTCGTCGTGTGTCGTTGACCCCGCTCCCTCGGTCCACAAGTACCTCAAAGTTCCCTCATTTTGTTTTGTCCCGATTCGCTGTACAAAGTCAGCGCAGAATTGTTATACTGTGAAGTTAATGACTCTTGTATTACTAATTTATATTAGCTCTTTAACTGATTATGTATAGTAACGTATTCTATTTATGAAAATACTTTCTGTTTGATATATGGATGTAGCGAAAAATCAAATCGGTCTCAGCTATTCTATTTAGGGAAAAAAGAGATATCATGTATACTCTAAGACCCGATTATAACAAACTTTGATGACACTTTTATTTGTCTTTGTATACATGGTGTTACTTACATACATGTTATGTACCTGAAATTACCTCTATTTCAGGCAACGAGTAAATGTATTTTTTAAATTTAACAAAATTAACTCTTCCACAGTTATTACTAGAGCACCTAGAATGCCTGGTCTCGAGACACGAGCGCTCGCTACGCATGACAGTAGTGAAGCGACAAGCAGCCGCGCAGTCCGGAGTCTCCTCCGAAGTAGAAGTACTGAAGGCACTCAAAAGCCTCTTCGAACATCACAAGGCGTTAGACGAAAAGGTAAGGACTGAGCACATGTCACACCCTCTCCAATCATCCCTCTGTTTGAACATTGATAACGACTTTAGAAGAATGTGTATCACAAGATAACTCTTGTTGTGAGGTAACCCTCAAGAGAGTCCGATAGGATTGTTGAGAGTCGTCATTATAAAATTGTATTGTTGTTAGCTGTACTATAACTTGGAAGCAAGTTTGACTGTTCATCTTCGAGCTCATGCCAGATGACAATAGTTAATCAATCATAATTACTTATTAAACTTTGTCTAATCTAATATAATGTAGAATAGAATTCTATGTATACCTTAGTCATCATCAACTCCAGTACTATAAAACATTGAAGAACGGTACAGAACTCCTCAACAATTTACCCATACTCCGAAAATACATAAAAGCTCCAATTGTCACGTATCTTACAACTTATAGATATTACTCTCACAATTTCCCTACGAATATAAAATGTTCGGTAAGTACGTTTGTTAGTATTGTAGGGAACACAATTGATGTGTTCTGCGACGTGTTACAGGTTCGGGAACGGTTGCGTGTTGCGTTAGAACGAAACACGGCGCTAGAAGAAGAACTAGCGCTCACTAAGGAAGAAGTAAGTATATTTTAAACTTATTTATAATAATGAAAAGTATGAAAAGATGGACTAACCTCTATGGACCTGCAATACATGCAATGCAAAAAATTTCATGCGGTTAAAAAAATCGGGATTGTTTGTTTCTATGGTTAGAACAGACGATAAAACAAATAATAAATAAACGCTTCTACAGAGAAAAATCCGCAAAATATACTGTAGGTTGTTGTTCTTCTTATTACATCTTTCATTCGAATTCGGAATTAATCCAATATAAACGATTGTTTCCCTACATAAAGGTATTTTCTATAATAATGATTACATTTACAATAGAACACCGGTGCGTGTAGCTGTATCAAACAACCTTTTAACATATCAAAAGCTTAAATACGTAAAACATTCGTCCACACAAACACTCTGAAATTCGATTGTTAGCAAAACAGTTGAAATGTTCGATTGTCCTATTATGTCGGCGTGCTAATTATGTAAAACAGGACAGTGGGCTTCGGCGAATAGTCAATAGTCAGATTAACCGGTACTAACGACCTCTGGACGGACCTCGAACCCGTCACGTTGTTTTGACACGTTCAAATGATCAGGAGTTACTAGGAACTGCTTGTTTGAGGACTAGTTACGTTGAAACAGTTGTCAGATGACTGGAAGAGTTGGTTAGTTGGTAGAATTAGCTAGGTATTGTATAAACTCTTAGCTATTTAACCCTTGGTTTACTGTCGTTGATCCAAGCCAAACAAATTTATATTTTTTCTGTTGTATTATTTGTTTCATATAGCAACAGTCAGGATTCTGATGGATATCAATTAACAGACAGAGATATACAGATTTCATACTTTCGACTAAAAAAAAGTTCCTGTAAAGGTTATCATGAACTTGACCTTCCGATACGAGAAAAATTACATATACCAGGATGAAGGTCATGGGAATGTCATCAGAACAAATATTGCTTCGACTAATAATTATTTTGATTTCGATATCCAAGCACGATCTCATGAAGGTAGATACTGGTCCAGAATACGAAATAACGTATCCATACCGGTATCTGTGTTACCATCTGGAAGGTGGAATAAATATATATTTCCTTATCTGGACTCTTGATAAGGGTAGCCGCCCTCAACCTCTGCGGAAACAAAATTATCGAAATGTCAAAATGAATGTTTGTGTATGGGAAGGATTTTGACTAAAGTGTGGTTGGCGTGAATTAAGGCTCGCTTGTTCGCGAGATCGAAAAGAGTATAAACATAATGTCGCATCTTTTATATTCTTTCATTTCTTTTTATCTCTAATTGGCAGAGAGAGAGAGAGAGAGAGACAGAGGTGCGCAACGCACATATTGAAAGTTAACCCACGTTTCGCTATTAATAGTTACAAGCCTATTACAATACCAAACTCTTTGTCCACTAATACTTTTTCCGACCAACTGATCAAGAAGGTAGACAATTAAATATGCACGAAATACAAAATAGTATCATCTACAATTTGTTATGTATAATAGAGGAGAGATTCTCGTCCTAGGACAACAATTTAACAAATATTCTCAATTACTTATATATTACCTACTTAACATATTCTCACCAATGTATTGATTTATCAGTTGCAGCAATACAAGTCGTCACAAGACGACAAGCCGAAGGAGAACGGCACCGTCCCCACCGGCTCGCCCGAGCAGAACGGGGAACAGCAGACCACCAAGGTAAAGTCTATAATATACACTGCACTCACATGCACTATGAACATACTGTATGATATAAACTGTATCGGTTTTTGGTCTTTTGTCTGTTAATTACATGAACATTTGTCTATTCGTTTTATCTACATGTTTTTAAGAGGTTAAATTCTAGTAGATACAGTGAAACCTGGTTAAGTGAGACATCAAGGGGCCTACAATGCCGTTTCACTTATAGAGGTATTCCACTTACCCAGTGTCTCAGATATACAGGTATAAATAAATATCTGTCTCATTTACAGAGGATTCCATTAATAGAGGTGGACTTAGAATTACGTATGGAATTTGTGTGTAGAATAAGAATGAGTAAACAGACAATGTTATCTCGGTTACAGAGGTTTATGCATATAAAATTTACTCGCTGTCTCAGTTATAGAGGGAACTATGATGATAAATCGAAAGAATAAAACCCAGATATAGAGTTTACCTCGTCTCACTAACAGAGGTAATTCAGTGCCAAAGTGTTGAGGGACCTTTGCATGAGTTCCAGTTATGGAGGTTTCTCACTTATCCAGGTCCCACTAAACCAAGTTTCACTGTATATCTTTAATAAGTCTTAAACAACGAATAAATACTGCTGTTACCGTAATAATATGGCATAGAAAGTACTAGTGGTCAAAAAAGTCTTTTCAAGATAACTTTACCCAATTCAAGAATTTGGTTTTGGGAATAACCATAAAATAATGGCATACCTATTGTGTAGTGCTTTTTAATCCCTTGTAATTAACAGACAATTTGATAACGATATCACGGGGACGGGACAGCACTTAGGAATGAAATACCTACTTTAATAAAAAAACAATGAAAGTTACACACACAGTACATGACACTAACAGAGAGTTTTATGAAGGAACACACTCTAAATATGTGTTAACTATAATCCCCCTTAGATGCTTAGGTTGCGAACTTATCAACGACTATTATTTTATATTCATTAATTGTCCACTGCGTGTCTTCCCCAAAAAGAACCTTAATTTTTTTATTAATAATCTCATTTATTACGGTCTATCAGCCTAGCACAAAGAAATGCTAATTTCCAAAATGTTCAGCCAATTGATAATTCTCCATTTCTATAAAACAACATTTATTCTGGCACCAGTCACTTTTCGACTAATATTGGGGAGAGCAGGCAGCCGCTTCTAATAAAAACTAAACTTAATCTGTAAGTAGACCGTTTTTGTAGTTTCAATGTTTTAATTAAAATTCTTTGTGAAAAGGTCGAGGTCTTGGGGAATTACGAAAAATACTTTTTTCGAATATCTCGATGTTTCGACGTCTTCGTGTGCCATTGATGAGTTCGCAATCTTAGTTGTTGGTGATTGTGCTATATTTTTGCGTACCATCTCTGAAATTACTTTGGGTCCTCTCGAAAAAGATTGACTGATTTAAATACCTTTTGGTTTGGCCGCTTTCAGAAATGGTCCTTTGTGTGTATTAAATATTTTGAAATACCTAATGATGTTTTACTTAATTCACAATTTTACGCAACAACAACAACTAATACTTAAAATAATATAGTTCTTTTAAACTCCAAATGACCCAATTGTATAAATTATGAATGAAGTAAAACATACCTAGAAACTGTCGCTTTAAAAACGAAATGAATAGCGTTTAGTTTTACATTTAAATTTGTTTTTTGATGGACGACACAGGATCCAAATAATGTAAACGGCGAATCGGAGACAACAAGGAAAATCAGTGAACTCCAAAATACGATCGCCAAGCAGGTTAGATACGCTGAGCATCATGCTGTACTGGTGATTAGTTGGTTGGGGGACGGGCTTGCTGTGGTTGGTTTACGGACCTTCTATAATGCACAATAGGGTTTCAATTAAATTATTTCACCGTTTTGATACGATAAATTTATTGGTTTTACGGTAACACAGGCCACTTAATTGTCGTATATATCTAACTTCTTTAGGAGTTAAGTTAGTATTTCAAAATTCATAGAAAAGTATAGTTTTCTGATATTTTACAAAAAAAGTATTGAATTCGACTAGTTGTAAAACCGTACCGTACTTTCTCAAATTGAAAAGGAAATGGACGTTCGCAGCAAATAAGTTATTTATAAATATTTCAGCAGACGGCAATATGCATAATGCCAATCGTGTCCATAAATTAAACATAGAGTCTGAGTTCCGTTGTTCTTATTTACATAAATCTGTTTGCTGATACGATTTTTGTTAAATTTTCTGTTAATGTATGAACTATGAATAATCAATATTGTCTGCCTTTTCAGTAAACAGTCAGTCATTTTCTGTTGAGCAAATAATTAATTAATTTATTGTCATTTCACTGTGAACTCGTTGTCCATTTCGAAACTATTTCAACTGAATTTCATCGATAAACATTTTCTGTTTTATTTTCTACCTGAAAATTATGAATAAATATTTTCAGAAATAGCATTATAGTGGTCCGTGTCCACCATGGTACAGCCATTCAACACCATCGAATCAGACTAACAGACCCCTAACACCGTGGTCTGGTCGCCATTGCACGATCGTGTCGCCATCTATACCGCATACATCGTACTAACGCATACGAACCTACTACTATATTGCTAACCAAATGTATTTAGTCATTAATACTTTAATACCTTTTAGATTAAGTAGCAAAGTTATTGTTTTTGGGCACTGCATCATTATTGATCCTTGCATTTAAAAAAGGTGACATTTGGGCTATATACTTTTAACATGTAGTCGTGACACGGTTACAAATATATTAAATGTTTGTTTAAGCCTGATACATAAAAAAGTTTAAATTGAGTTAAATTGGCTATTATTTAGGTAAAACAATAGGCGTTTTCTGTGTAAAAACTAATCAATTTATGTAAATGCAGTGGCCAAAATGATAAATCCTGTATAATGTACAAATAAAGCATAGAATAATATACCTCTAGTTAGTATAATTCCATTTGTACATAATATAGCAACAGCAACCCTTAAACCATTTGTCAAAGCTGAAAGAAAGTGTTAGGGATTGGAAATGTAAATTGACAGCATTATATTTAAATGACCTTCATAAATCTCCTTTTAGTCTTGTACATTTTATTCAATGGAATTATAGAGGTGTAATCCTGTATTTGCGTATAATTGAAGCCCTCTTTGGAATGAAGTAGCATGCTGCTTCTTACGGCCTCAAGTAAGATGTACTTATTGCAGCTTGACCGTGCTCGAATGCTTAGAACGAATCGCTTTACTTCTAAACTTAGTTCTAAAAATTATGTTAGGCTATCAATTTTGACAAATGGTATGTTTAAGCAATGTATCTATCTATAGTATCAATAAAAAAACTGAACAAAGAAATTGTTCTATTTTAAGTATTTTTTTCTATAATGGATACATTGCTTACTGTAATCTTAAAGTACTAGAGTCGGCATGCACCCCATAGACTAACAGACGCGCACTGACATCACGTAATACGTAATCTAGGACCATAGGCATCCACATTCCATAACACTAACACTGACCATCACTGGAGAACCACCGTAGTTGGGATACCATGGTATAATAATTTACCATCACACAACGGCATACTAACTTAAACTAAGTATCTAAAACCACCAGCACATCAAACTATCCTCTTCTAGCATTGGATTTTCACCTTTATTACAATGTACTAAAGTTGAGATTCCGTTAAAGAAATTTGAGTAAATAGGGTAGCTTGATATGTCTGGTGTATGTAAATTCATTGCGTCATAAGTATTCAGATGCAATCGCAATGTAGTTAGTTAAACAGTAATGGATGCAACATGGTTTTGCCAATTGTTAAGTATTGTTCTAACGGTGAGTATTGATCGAATAAAGGACATGGACATCATTATTCTGAAAAGAATGCATTGAAAGCTTCCCAAAATTTAATCTTGTAATGGAAAGCATTTTCTTTAAATAACAAATATACCTACAAAATTAATACTTGAAAGAACAACTTCGAATGAAAATTAGCATGTTGCAACTTCAACTATTAAGCACCAAAACCACTATCAATTCGATTATGTCCATCCAACTCTTCAACATGCCTTCTACCTCCAATTTTCTATTAACATGTTCCATTGTGTACAACAGTCAGCAGAGCTTAGCTCGTGGCAGCGGCGGGTGGCGGAGCTCAACAACAAGGTGTCGGAGCTGGAGGACCGGCTCTCCAAGGGAGAGAAGGAGCTTGCCAAGAAGCAGGAAGAGTGCGTCAAGCTGCAGAGGGACCTGAGGGAAAACGTCGCGCAGAAAGAAGATCAGGTACCTTGTTGATTGGTCTTCTATCTTTTAATTTACATCTTCAAACGACACTTGACTCGGAAATCTTGTTTAGTCAAAGAAATGTACCTACCTAAGCTAGCAATTTGTCACGACTTCGCGAGGATCCTTTTTATTAACTTTAAAATAATTTTCCAGTTTTTTCATTCATTCATACTGGGCTTGATCATACGACTAACAACAAATAGGTTAATGAATTTGGTAATGTTTTTGTCAAGTTATGGTAAATGACCTAAGAAAAATGGGATCCGTTGTTAAACATTGTAACATCCTATATAGCGTAATTACACGACAATGTTATACCACAGGAGGAACGCATCACGACGTTGGAGAAGCGTTACCTGAATGCGCAGCGTGAGTCCACGTCACTACACGACCTTAACGAGAAGCTGGAGCAGGAACTCAATCACAAGCAGGCGCAACTCAAGGTGAGAACCCCAACAACTAGTCCATATCAGCCCTACTGGAGCTATGAAGACAAGGAATCTGAAAAAGTCTGTCTCTCAAGAGAAAGGATTGCTTCGGTGTGGTGGAAGAAGGATTATTCTGCCGCAATACGTCTTAGCAAACAAGGAAAATAGGAATGTCCCTCGTATAACACAAATAGAAATCAATAGGTTTGGTTTGATATCAGATTTAGGATGTGCCTCACATTGTCTTGTGTGTGTGACAGTTATTGTATGATTTGTTGAAATGATCTACTCGTGTGTAATGTATATATCTCTTCAATCAAAATCGTCCTTACAATAACTCCCCATTATTACAAAATCTCTTACCCTCGTTCTATGTAGCCAAAACCCCATGTAACTAACAAACTAACTGCCCAACTAGCCGCTTCTAGTTCACAAGCACAGTTCATAGACCATGCCACTGTCATGCGTTGCAGCTGCAAGAGGAGAAGATTGCAGCCATTGAGGAGAAGCTGGAGTTGTCCACGCAGAAGCTTGCTCAGATGTCTTCCTTGCCTGAGATGGAGGAACAGCTCAAGGCCAGAATGGAAGCCCTCAGTCAGGTGGGTGGTGATAGGAATACTGGCAGGATTATAAGAAACTAGTATGGTAGTTAATATTTTATAGTTTGGAAATAGTACAAATTTTTACTGATAGCCTTTATAATATATTGAGTTTGTTAAATTTGAAATAACAATGAAATGACTTCGGGTTAATTAACAAATGTTATTTGGGAATTAATTCGTTTGTAATTGTATTTATTAGTCTGCTAATTGAGAAACTAAGTCTTAATTTTGCAATTAATTGAACTTACTCATTCGTACTACGAAAATGATAAATTTCTCTCTGCTATAGTGACTAATAAAAAATTTTCGCTTTCCGCTTCTCATAATCCATTCCCATTTAGTTCGGAATGACTCCGTGTTGATTTGTTTCTTATCATTTATTTGCCGTAGTTCTCTGTGTGTTTTTACTAACTACATAACCGTGTTGAGTGAATTTCTGTGTGTACTTACCCTTTCTGACTTCAATCGTCTGAACGTCGATTATAGTAATTTGAATCGCATAGTTTTATGTCTTTGCAATTGACTTCATTGTAAGAGTAGCATAATGACAAAAATCTACTTTATGTCGTATGCAATAACATTACAAATCAAATAAAACAATAAAGTTAAAAATAAGATACGTTAGGTGTTATAAGCCAGACCGTTAGGTATTATACTTGTACCGAATACTCAAGTCTTGTACCTGATGACCGATGATGACAAAGGATTTTCCGTCAATAGTTGTTAATAGGTCATACGACAAGAGGTTTTTGATATCCCAGACTAGTATTGTAAGTACAAATAAGTGAGGCTGCTATACCCGGCAGGCGCAGGAGCGGCACGGGTCGGCCGAGGACCGCATCCAGCGCCTCGAGGCCAGCGTCGAGGAGAAGAACGCGGAGCTCATGCGACTCAACCAGCGCCTGCGCATGAACGAGGAACATAACACCAGGCTCTCTGCCACCGTCGATAAACTGCTGTCCGAGTCTAATGATAGGTATGGAAATAATTGTTGTAATGTAACTTTGACATACATTGTTTGTTTGTAAGTCCCAAAAAAAAAATGTGTGCGCGATTTCGTACTTTGAGGAGAGATTTTTTGAAACCGAAAATCATTTGCTTTGCCCAACCTGGGAACTTTTATCTACACTATAAAATGTTTACTGTCTGGCCATTGTAGACGTTGTAATGTGGCGGGAACGGAGCGATAAATGAATAGGCGTGTAGTCAGCTCAAGAGTCATTTATTGACTGTCTTACAATACACTGATACTTAATAACTAACACCACTACAACGTAATGGTCTTACCTTATGTGATCGCACTTTCAACTCTTTCATGTCTCGTCTGTTCGTTTACCGTCATATCCAATAAAAATAGGTTGATGTATGTAAGAATCGTAGAAATTGGCGTTCCATAGTCTCAGCCTACCCCCATGGGAGACAGGCGTGAGGTTACGTATGTATGTAACTGATAGCACACAAATTTAACCAATCCTCTTTCTCCCCAGGCTACAAGTTCACCTAAAAGAGCGCATGCACGCGTTAGACGAGAAGAACGCGCTGACGCAGGAACTGGAGAAGACGCGCAAATATGCGGACGAACTGCTCGCAGAGAAACAGGAGATACTCAAGGAGCTCGCCAAGTGGCGCATGGAGACTGAACAGGTAAATTATACAGATAGTGTATCAAGCTTACAATATTTCATAATTTGTTGCCAAAAAATCTATGAAACAGGTGCGACTGCCTTACCTATATATTGTTGGAAAGTCGCGTCGTGGCATTGGAAACACTGTTTCTAATATACTCAAGCAATAGTCCGTATTTTTAAAACTCAGTTTTAAAAACAGACTTCAAACGTTACCTTCTCTTTTAAACCTACAAACAATGTCCTACTTGTTTCCAGCTGAAGCGTCAGATGCTGGAGCAGGAGATAGCGTTCAACATCCAGCAGACGGACGCGCTCACTCGCTCCCTGTCCCCCGCCGCCCAGCCGCAGCCCCCGCCCGGACTGTTCCAACCCAAGGTATGTCGCGGTATAACTGTACCATGTGGTTACAGCTGTAGATAGACACCAGTGTTGGGTTAACTATGTGGCAATAGAAAGGGGGGGGTTCTTGTATAACCAAATTGTCCCCTTTTGCATAAGAAGGTCTTAATAGGAAGATGATAAGAAGAACAATGTATTTCAGAATGTCTCATCAAGTTACAGTTTACTTAAATGACATATTAAGTGTATAAAACACTGAAGATCAATAGAAATAAAGTAATTTTAGAGTAAATTTTAAATTGAAGTTACCTCAAAGAATGCTTAATCCGACACTGGCCCTAAAAATTACGAGTGAAAATGACGCTAACGGCTAATAGTCCGGTCAATTTAGACATTGGAAGTTACATAAAGTCCCAACAAGCTGAATTTCTGTGAAGTTGTTCAAAACATAATAATAAACAATGTCTAGAAGTTCCCCATCATTCCCCTGTAAGGAAAAAATTTTATTCAAGGTCAAAGGTCAAAAAAATGAGTTTTTCGCGATTTTCAGCAAAACGGTAAGTTTTATCATAAAAGTACATCAGACAAAAATTGTAGATCATAAAATTATCCATAAAAATGTATCAGTACTTTTTTTCTTACGAGCCATCGTTTCTGAGATATGACGATTCAAAAAAATATAAAAGTTGTTTTCATCACAATATGCACACGTTTCCACGCCACCTATGAGATAGTGTACTTAGCGCATTTTTTTTAACGTGGTTTCTCCAGTACTACTCCACGGGTCAGTTGTGATCCTGTTTAATGTAAAACTATTGCAAAATAACGGAAATTTTCGAAGATTGGGAAAGATAAAAGCGATGTAAATGAAAAAAAAGTGTTGCAGTTTATTCGTCTTATTCGTCTTATTCGTAAGTTTCAAATTCTTGGTCCTCTTCTTGATCTTCTTCTTATTCCTATTCTCCTGCTTCTTCTCCATCTTCATTTTGGATGCAAGTAAATTGCGTCAATAGCGATGTATCGCATGATACTTCGTCGGAGTCAAACGAATCCTCCATTGTTTGTGATTCAATACTAGAGCACGACCGGCCTTGACAATTTGTGCATGCCAAAGAACAAGACAGTCCGACTTTTTTGCAACCACATTTAGCACTGCATCCCTTTTTGCAGTTGCAAAAAATAGTGTTCAGCAGTTTTTCCGGCGCAGGTGGAAGTAAAGTTTGAACTGGCTCTAATATATTGTTGACCAACTTCCAACCCCAGTCTGTAGGGTCTAGCTGATAACCAAGCCGCACTTGAACTTGGTAATATACTAGAAAAAGATGTTGGTGAGCAGCAACTGAGGTTGGAGGAAGACAAGCTAATTGAATTTGTTTTTTTTTTCCTTTTTTTATCTTTCCCAATCTTTGATAATTTCCGTTATTTTGCAATAGTTTTACATTAAACAGGATCACAACTGACCCGTGGAGTAGTACTGGGGAAACCACGTTAAAAAAAATGCGCTAAGTACACTATCTCATAGGTGGCGTGGAAACGTGTGCATATTATGACGATAACAACTTTTATATTTTTTGGAATCGTTATATATCAAAAACGATGGCTCGTAAGAAAAAAGTATTGATAATTTTTTATGGATAATTTTATGATCTACAATATTTGTCTGAAGTACTTTTATGATAAAACTTACCGTTTTGCTGAAAATCGCGAAAAACTCATTTTTTTGACCTTTGACCTTGAATTAAATTTTTTCCTTACAGGGGAATGATGGGGAACTTCTAGACATTGTTTATTATTATGTTTTGAACAACTTCACAGAAATTCAGCTTGTTGGGACTTTATGTAACTTCCCTCTCATTTTTTGGTCTAAATTGACCGGACTATAACGCTAAAAGATATCTTTGATCTGGGGTCTAAACCTAATTAGTAATTTTGTTTGTCATAACTTGTTCCGAGAATTGAATTAATTTACAATGCACGTGTGGTTTCCTCACTCACTAAAGTAGATGCTAGTCTCTTAACAGCCGCAATGAAAATGTAAGTCGAGACTATGTTCGGTGATGATGTCCGCGACGCATTTCTTTGATGATAAATATTTTAAAACAATAATAAATCTCCGGACTCGGGGCGTCCTTTTTTTTTCAAAACTAATAGTCAGGACTTCATGGCTTTCTCAATGGCGCCAGTCAAGTATCTACTACAAGAAAGTCTCATTAACTTCAATCGCATCTGTCGTCTTGTTTAGACCTTGTATTAGTAAAGATTTGACCACCAAATACATTTAGAGAGTGAAGAAACTTAGCGTATGTTTCCAACATGAGTGGTGTGAGATTCCGGCGAGAGTGGTGCGAGGCATGTAGTGTGGGTGTGTGCAGCTGGACGGGTCGTGGGAGAAGCTGCAGCAGGCGCACGTGCTGGGCGCGGGGCCGCCGCCCTTCGACGTGTCCAGCGACGCAGAGGTCAGTGCCGCGCACAGCCTGCTACTCATGGCATATTGTGTTCGTTTTGTTTCTACCTACCCACTTCCCTGTGTATATTTTGCCCTATATGTATCTTATTTAATCAAGTTTTTTTCAAAACTAGCTTCTACCCGCGACTTCGTACGGGCAATCCCGTTTTCTCCTGTTCCTGTTGGATTTTCAGGATTTATTTCTGTCATAAGAACCTTTTCCTAACAATAACAAACACAACAAAAAAAAACAGCCAAATCGGTCGAGCGATTTGGCTGATGAAACCCGTGGGAAACGAGTTTCATTTTTATATTCAAATTGTTGCCCAATAATGAAGTAGGGTTACAAATAACTGTATGGATAGTTTATATCCCAATATTATTTTTGAACAGGTATTAAAACGCATGGTATTAACTAATGTCTCGTCACTTTTATTTTCAATACTTACCAAACAACTAATGAATGTTAATAACAACATAATAGTATTATTAACATCGTAAAATTACATTTATATATATATAGATATTCTGCTGGCTGCATCCTTTTATTAAATGAGAACATAAAGAAGTTTCCTAAAACCCATATAATATGTCCAGAACGACGAATCAGACGGTGGAGTGGAAGGTGGCCACACAGACGCGGCAGCTCTAGCCCTCATGCTGCAGGAACAGCTGGACGCCATCAACACGGAGATACGACTCATTCAGGAAGAGAAGCAGACCACTGAGGCACGCGCAGAGGAACTTGAGTCCAGGGTCAGTACATTTTCTCTTACCATACTTGTATACACAGTTTTATATGGTTAGGTTGTGTCTGTTATCAGGGACAAAATGATAGAAAATGATAGTTAGATATCAGGAGGAGAAAGAGTAGTTCTAATGTCTTAGTACGAGTTTATTTACGTTTAATGATATGGCAATGTTACTGCTTTCTAATAAAACGCTATGCTAGTTTGCAATCAACTGTACTTTTGTTTAAATATAATTCGAATCATCACTCAGCCGTTTATTCGGTCTGTGCATTCTAATATTTGTAAGTTTAACATAAGTGATATTAGATGGCGTTAGCAGTAATTAGAAATCGGTTATTTTGTTATATCTATTTTACGGCGTTCTGATTGGCCTGCTCCAATAAATCAACGAATCAGAGCGCCGGGCGCGGTGACGTATGAAACTCGTACTGAGCCTTCTGGATAATAATATGCAGTGTTTAGGCATACACTTTATATCACTGGAATCTAGAAGTTTGTTGGTAAAACAATGACATCAAGATGTTGAAAGTAATCCTAAACTGTAAAGAATGAAATTACAATACACATGCAGTTTAATGTAGATGTATTAGATGTTCATTAGTTTAATATTTAGGAATTACATTCAAAACGACTTGGATATCATTGCAATAATTAGCCGTCTGATTACGTCTGATACAAGAAACAAAATCTCTGAAGATTATAATGAATATAGATAAGTTTTCTTAAATGTGGTGAAGGGTACAATAGTCATATTTCGTTTTATATGCAAAGACATGAATGACAAATTACAGCAGACCATTTTTTTTTTTGGGTTGCTATAGCGGTAATTTCAAGTTAGTGCATATAAGTCGAAGTATAATAGAGTAGAAACTCAGTATCTAGGGTCAGTTTATGGCATTATGGTTAATTGGTTGTGGACAAGTAACAACTCAGTGCTATATATAAATACTTAAATATTATGTTCCAGCTTCCACACAACTTGTACTTTAGTTTATTCTTGGTGATGGCTCATTTTCTCCATTATTTTTATCTGTGGTGGACTATAATGGCGGCGCTTTGAAATCTCAGAGCTTTTTTGCTCAAATACTTGCGACACTAAAATAACAATTTTCGTTTTTTGGTTTGCCTTTACTGGCATAATTTTGACACAAAAACTGAGTGATATACATAATTAAATATTTAGATCGTTATTTTATATCATCTATTTGAAAATAGCGCCGCCCTTACGGTATACATTTCATAAAAAATCTTTAACAATATAATTCCATTGCCTTGAATCACTTCACTGGCCGCCGACCACATATTTGTACTATGAAATAATGTACATACAAGAATTTTCAATTGGATTATTGAATAGTCTTAATAAAGAAGGTCGCCTTAAGGACCATTGCTGCTAATTCTGTATAGACGGCAGTACAATAACATAGTACATGTATGTCGCGGCGGGCGGTGTCGATCGGTGCGGTATGAACAGGATGTATATAAGCGGGTGTGGTGTGGGCAGGTGGGCAGCTACGAGCACATGAACGTGCTCGCCCGCCGCGGCGAGTCCCCGCCGCGCGCGCCCTCGCCCTCGCGCCACCACCACAAGTACCACACCGTACGTATGCACCACTCACTCACTCATTCACTACACACTCACATTATACTCCTCTGATGTACTCACTCACTTACTCTCGTTCCACAGTCATTAATAAACTAACTGACACTTATACACATACAAACAATCACTTCAACGCTTTAAAAAAATCACTCTCATATTTACTCATACTCACCACTTCCACTCGCGCCACCACCACAAGTACCACACCGTACGTATGCACCACTCACTCACTCATTCACTACACACTCACATTATACTCCCGAGCACATGAACGTGCTCGCCCGCCGCGGCGAGTCCCCGCCGCGCGCGCCCTCGCCCTCGCGCCACCACCACAAGTACCACACCGTACGTATGCACCACTCACTCACTCATTCACTACACACTCACATTATACTCCCGAGCACATGAACGTGCTCGCCCGCCGCGGCGAGTCCCCGCCGCGCGCGCCCTCGCCCTCGCGCCACCACCACAAGTACCACACCGTACGTATGCACCACTCACTCACTCATTCACTACACACTCACATTATACTCCCGAGCACATGAACGTGCTCGCCCGCCGCGGCGAGTCCCCGCCGCGCGCGCCCTCGCCCTCGCGCCACCACCACAAGTACCACACCGTACGTATGCACCACTCACTCACTCATTCACTACACACTCACATTATACTCCCGAGCACATGAACGTGCTCGCCCGCCGCGGCGAGTCCCCGCCGCGCGCGCCCTCGCCCTCGCGCCACCACCACAAGTACCACACCGTACGTATGCACCACTCACTCACTCATTCACTACACACTCACATTATACTCCTCTGATGTACTCACTCACTTACTCTCGTTCCACAGTCATTAATAAACTAACTGACACTTATACACATACAAACAATCACTTCAACGCTTTAAAAAAATCACTCTCATATTTACTCATACTCACCACTTCCACTCTCTTATACATACTCAGTAATACACGTACTAACATACTTATTATTAAGCCTTGTAACTTATTATCTACCTAGTAATTACTAAAAACTAATAATTAATCAGGTAAATACAAACCTGATTTGGTTTGGGTATTATAATGTAAATTATGCCTTCTTTGGTAAAAAATCCTCATTTTATTTAAACATTGGCACAACTAACATTTTATAATGATAAGCTGCCTAATATCAACAACTGGTATTCACTCACATGAGTACTTTATCGTTCTAACCGTATTATACAAACCTTGTAATATTATACCAATTTAAAACCATAATACAAAAAGGGAATCTAATTTGAACCTTACTCTACAATGGTTGAATAAAAATCCACCCAAATGTCAAGGATATACGGTTGAACGAGTGAGGTATTTATTATAACATAACGGTGAGGTAAGGTAGTGTAGTAGTCACGGGTGTGGTTTACCAGGCGCCTGCGTCGATGTCCCCGGCGGCGCACTACCGCGCAGCCCCGGCCTCCGAGAGCCTGCCGTCCAGCCAGGTCCGTCACCTATACACGACTATAACTAACGCATACAACGTACCTCTTACTAGTATGTTGTGCTGCTACACTGATCTAAGGGTATTGTTTTTGGTGGTAATATATTTCGGGTACGCTCGACTTCTTTCGAGCTACACTGGGGCCCTTAACTACGAGCTAGAAACGTAGCGAAATCGCACATGCTTAGCATATGCAAATTAAAATGCCTGAGAAAGCCGTTTATTTATCTTGTGATCTATTTATTTCAATCTCAGATTCAAGAAATCGACCAGCATTAATCAAAAAAATTTTGCCAAGTAATACAACAGGTTTTACCAATTGAAGATATTTTCAAATTAAACTTTAATTCTGTCGTCAATTAATTGAAATCTTCGAACGAATATAAATTCTTCTATAGATTGCATATAAAATTCCTTACGACCAGTTTAGCAGTACACAGGTGTACATGAGAGGTATGCACGCATTCACGGGAATGGCTTACAGCTGTGTGGAAATTTGCAGCTACAAACAATACGTCTATGTGCGGGGAAACAGCTCGTTCGCGTTGTATAGAATTTTCATGATTAAGCAACTTTATAAATTGGTAACCATTAGATTCTGAAAAGTATTTCAACTACTTTTGAAGGATTTTGAAGGAGAGATAACAGTTGTTTGATCTGAAATACTGTCTTCCAACAATCCAACCGAACGCTCAATCTCATCCTAATTGAGTCACAGTGAACTAAATGTAGTTTGTGACTCAATTAGGACATACTAATGAGTATAAGACAATTACAAGAATTATCTTGTTTTTTTTAAAAAACGAGCTGTTTCATCCAATTTCATAAATTATGCAAATGTAGCTATTATTTAGTTGAAATATTTAAGTAAAATGTAATGTATATTATAATATGAATTGTATGACATCCTAGCATTTAGCATGACACGCCCTGTATTTAATATATTGCGGTTGTTGGTATTATATGCCTAATTGTCATATGTATAGAGGTTGGTTTTATTAATCACGACGTACATACATATAATAATTTTATCCATTGCTACCTTTCAAATAGCTTTGTTTTATTTCAACTATAGTCTCTACTCTCTATTTTAAATACTCTTTCACATTTAACTGAGGTTTAATAGAAGATAGCATTTAAGTCTACTTCCCTAATCTGAATATTAATAATTTGAAGTCTGTTTCGATTAGTAAAACCAATTGAATAAGGAAGAACGGCATGCCAGCTATACCCCAATGATATAACACCCATGTAATAAGTAGTCTATATTCGTATAAGTAAATAATTTAATAACTGAATGACAGTAAGTGCACAGCACTGCTTACCACTGCGTAGATATTAGGCGACGCTTGTATGTGCAACGTATATAAATAAATTACTATTTATTATTAATATCATACTAATAGTCCTTGAAATTAAACTTTCTGTTTAATTTATGTACAAACTTGAACAATAAGTTTTTTATTGAAAATTAGTTCTGAGATATTATGTCGAATTTAGTGGTTGTTTTTATTTTTAATAATAAACTCCTAGAGTCACAATAATTGTATCGATATTAAGTAAATATAGCAAACACTACAAATTGAATTGTAAATCATATTTTAAAATAGTTTGTAGCACATTTCCGTTCGATTTAGATAGTTGATACAATGTATAGATTGTAATAATATTCATTTAAACAGAAATGTCAAAATTTTGTAGATACTTTATTGTACCTTTTTATTGTGTTACAACACTTTTAGTTTGTCACTTAGTCCGTTTAAACAAGTTTAATTAAAGCTATAGTAGTGATAAATCACGTGTAATAATAATGTTAACAATTTATCTTAATATGTCTTTTGTGTTTCAATTTTTATAATACAATATTTTGAAGCACTTTCAAAACTTGCCATTGGAAAAATTTTCACTTTACACATATGTAAATAAAACATCGGCCTATCTCCATACAGTTGCAGCTATGTGAGGAAGGTGCAGGTGGCGTAGGCCCCGTGGGTCCAGTGGGGCCGCCACACGGCGAGGGGGCGGAGTCCCCGCTGACGGCGCGCTCGCTTCGTCTCGAGCGAGCTGCCAGAGCTATACATGCTGAGCGAGACCGACTGCGCACGCACTACCAACCACCTTATGATGCGTGAGTATTATTTAACTGTTGATAAAAATATGTCCAATAAATGTTTACTAAACTATTTCAGTTTTAGAAATTCTAACTATGGTTGAAACTAGGTTATGCGGTTTGCGCAATGCTCATTAATATTATATATGCGCTATAGAATGATCTTTGCGCAAGTTGCGCGAGAGGACTGAATAACTTTTAAATTCGAAGGAGTATTTTTTTCATTAATATGTTAGGAGGTTAATGATTAATAACTGCATGTATTAACAAAATATGCTGTGTGTAAAAACTAACAAAATACTAACATTTAACAACTTTCTTTTCCACGCAACCAGGACATCGATTATGTCGGGCAGCCTCGCACGGATCCCAATGCACAGGTCTCAGCCTTTGTCTCTCGCGGGAACCAAACCCGTGTTCCACTCACAAGTGAACTTGGCTCACCTGTGGTGTGACTGTCCAGACACATTGTTCAACTACGTACCTCACAGACTCTGCCTTAAATCCAATATGTATAGGATTGTTGATAGTTACCTGTTCCATCATCCCTGTCTCGTGAAGTCTGCCAGCTATATCTGAAGTTATTTGGGATTGTAAAATTCTTCTTTGTATGAGAAGGTCAAATAACGCACCACTATTATGTGCCTTATTGTTGTATGTAAATGCACAATACAGATTAAAACGTGAACGTTTCCCCTTGAAAAATATGTCAAAAATATTTCTCAAATTAGTGAGGTTCTTCAATATTACGTGGAAGAGCAATGTGTCAAGACTTTCAGCTTACTATTTTTTGTTATTTCGTTCTTAAATTTGCATACATGTTCTTTGTGATTAGTTATAAAACTTTTTATAAAATAAATGTGGTATAAAATATTTCACAAAATGGAATTACTAATTGTGTTCCCCATCATCGTTGAATTTGGAATGTAAAATAACAATGGTATGTTTTTAATATTTTATATGTGTGTGATCCCTGACTCCATAGTAGACTTCTATATCGGCTAAACACTTAGTAATTCCATTTTAGCTAGACATTTTATGTTGGTTTGGTGTAGCACGGCTTTGTCAGGGACACGTAATCTAAATGAATTGATATTGAGTTTAATTTAAAACGCAATAAGGCTTATAATTATAATATTTTACAATAGTAATGTCTCGAAATGCTGCTAGATGCACTTACACACTGTAACTGCTAAACGTTTAAGTCAAGAACTCGAAAGCGATAAAAATTACACAAATTTCGCTTTTATTTAAGCTGAACTTCCATGCTTATTACCAAATCCACGCACGATTTAGGTGCAACTTTCTACTCTATGATACATACTTGATAATTTCAACAAAAGTAACATTATAAATCTCTACACAGCAACATTTCATCGAGCTCTAGTCAAGAGTCTCTGGGTGGCATGGCATCGTCTCTGGGCGGTGGTATGGCCAGTACTTGGGGCGGCCCGGCCGGCAGCTCCAGGGCCGGGGCAGCCTCCGCCGCATCCATCGCGTCCATGCACCAGCAGAAGAAGCGAGGCATCAAGAGCTCACTGGGCAGGTTCTTCAGCAAAAAGGAAAAGGCTGGGATGCCGGTTAGTTCAGTTTGTAATGTTTTAGTTATTATTATTACCATTTTTATACATGAAGAGAAGATAATATGGTGGATCAAGTTGTACTAAGAGAAGATTGGAAGTACTTGAGCATCAAGAGTATGGTCATCATCATCAGCAGCCGCAAGATGTCCACTACTGGACAAATTTCTTCCCGTTCTTGTCCTCCACGTTGTAGGTCATGCTTTGATTTAAATAAGAATAGTACCTATTTATTGTTCGCTTCATTAAAGGAACACAATGCAGTTTGATTAAGAATGACAGGGATTTTTCAGCCAAGATTAGAAGTGAAGTATTTTACTCTTTATATTTTTATTCGACTATATCGTGTCCCACACACCGTGTTTTAAAAGATTTCCTAATTCTTATCATTACATTAATTTACTCCATAGCTGCAACAAGGTCAGAGTCCCCGGTCGCTATCCTCGGTGTCGTCCCTGGGTCTGTCGTCCCTGGCGGACGACCCGTCCAGCAGTGACGCGATGACTCCGCACGCTCCCATGCCACACGCGCCCATGTCACACCAGGACTACGCCAGGACTAAGAGCAAGTCAGTATATTAAACAATCTAATGTGTTTTTGTATATTCTGAGTCATTTTTAAGAAGTGTAAATGTTCTGTATTTCATTTTACATTTATCATTAGACAATGCTTACTACTTGTGAGATACAGTTACACAATATCTGTAAAAAAAACCAATACTGTGTGGTTGACTGACTGATTGACTGATATAAAATGCATAGTCCAAATGCAAACTTTTAATTCTAAGAAGAATTTGACATGTTTCTTAAGCAATTAAGACAAAAAAAATTTTGGTGATCCGAAGACAGATGTAGAAACTAGTATAATTCATAACGTTAGTTAATAAATGGTGGTAATTTGGTCGGCATCCAGAGACCGCGACTACCGGCACGAGTTGCTGGGCGAGGCCATGCGCGCGGGCACGCCGTTCGCGCTGTGGAACGGGCCCACCGTCGTGGCCTGGCTCGAGCTGTGGGTGGGCATGCCGGCCTGGTACGTGGCCGCCTGCAGGGCCAACGTCAAGTCCGGCGCCATCATGTCCGCGCTGTCCGACCAGGAGATACAGAGGGAGATCGGTACGCCGCAAACACAACATTCAATTAACAAGATATTGTATCGCTAATTAGTCCCGTACAATTAAAAACACCTCACCCTTTTCATGGAATGTGGCATGTAATTTACTAGATGGCAGAATTTCAATGCTGTGCATAGAAAATTGGACATCTGCAAATCCAAACGTTACAAAGGCGTTCGTTTACATCTGGCATCCACTTTTAGCTACTTTTACTGAATCAGCTTTCTTGTTTAGCTATAGTCTAAAAGATTTAGATCACAATAAAATAGAATAACAACAAACCCGTTCTATTTTTAAATATTCATTTAAAAATAAAGCATCGCATTTTTACGTACACCTGCCTTGACAGCTTTCGATTCAAGTAAAACCTAATGTCCTGTACCAGGTATCAGCAACCCACTCCACCGCCTGAAGCTCCGCCTGGCGATCCAGGAGATGGTGTCCCTGACGTCACCGTCCGCGCCGCGCGGCACTGCCTGCGCCGCGCTCGCCTTCGGGGACATGAACCACGAGTGGATCGGAAACGTATGGCTACCCTCTTTAGGTGAGATGTTTACTTTGTTATCTAATGAACTGATACAAGATCAATAATGACAATCATTTGTAAACCACATACACGCAATTTTTCAGGCCGTAAAAGTCTGACACTCCCTCTTACCTCACCCGAGGTGGGAGAAGTGATTGGCTGATCTTCCCTAAGAAAAAGGGCAGTTTGTGACGTCAAAATAAAATAATGTAGATTCTTATGAAGCAAGAAACTGCATCGTTATTGTTTTGAGTACTTCAGATGTACTATTTATTGACTAAAAAATGATTCGTCTGAATAGCCTAAACTGTGATTTTTGTATAGTATCTGTTGACTGCCGATGTTAGAGAATAGAACACAGGTATATTATACGGACCCTATTAAGCTGGGCACGGAGATAACTACTTTTAGTTTTTGCTAAGTTTGGACTAAAGTAGATGGATGTCAAAAGGTTGGTATCATAATATGTTCTTAACACATTGTTGATTCTCTATTTCAGGTTTACCTCAATACAGAACTACGTTTATGGAGTGTTTGGTTGACGCGAGGATGTTGGAACACCTGACCAAGAGAGACCTTAGGACGCAACTTAAAATGGTTGACAGTTTTCATAGGTAATTCATTATAAGTACTGTATAATCTACTTTTATTATTGTTTAACGACTTATTCACCCACGTGTGGTATTTCGCTAATGCTCGACTAATTTTGAGCTGCAGTGAGCTGACCCTTAAACGATAAGTTTACAGTTGATTTTGATGTAAATCGTTGATCAAGTGGCAATAATGAATTTATTTCGTGTGTAGAACATCTCTGCACTTCGGCGTGGCGTGTCTGAAGCGAGTCGGGTACAGCGTGCGAGCGCTGGAGGAGAGACGGCGCGCGGCCGAGATGGGGACCAGGGACGTACTCGTGTGGACCAACGAGAGGCTGCAGCGCTGGCTCGTCTCCATCAACCTCAAGGTATGTAGCTACAGGTGGACCTATCTAACCTATAACACAATCAGAACACATCTCCTCATTCCAATACACATCAACACCTTATAATGCCCACAGCTGAGCAAAGCCTCTTCTCACATGGAGAAGGTTTGAGCATTAATCATTACGCTTGCTCAATGCGAGTTGGCGCGTTCCAAATAGTTCCAATGCGCCTAATGGCAACTCAGCATTTGCATCTAATCATTCGGCAGCTGTGACGATGTCAATTTCATCAGTCGCTTTTTGCAGCTTCTTTGAAATTTACGTATGTGTCTTTTTGTTAGTTAATGACGTTAGATGTGAGATAACAGTCCGCTTGTGTCCCAGGAGTACGCCAACAACCTGTCGGAGAGCGGCGTGCACGGCGCGCTCATCGCGCTGGACGACAACTTCGACGCCAACAGCATGGCGCTGGCGCTGCAGATACCCACGCAGAACACGCAGGTACGTCCGCTGCAACACTCACTCCTTGTGTGGCTTCACGGAAATGTTTCTTATTACCTACTTCCGCGCAGTTTCACTGGCTGCACGGCTTCTATTGAACGCAGCGTAATGTTTTATATCCTTCTAAATCCAAATTTTAATGTTCACGTAACAGTTTCCCCAGGAATCAAAATTGTATAGCTTATATTGTATTACCGTACCCTAATTTTACTTTTCTTGCTATATTAAATCATATCCTATAACTCTTTGATATTTGAAGCCTTTCTCGATAAGTAAACGATAACTACATAAAAATGATTATTCAATTCGAAGCAGTAGTTCCGAGGTTAGCTCGTACAAACCAATGAAGTGTAACATGTATCGTGGCCGCAGGCGCGGCAGGTGCTGGAGCTGGAGTTCGGCAGCCTGCTGGCGGCCGGCACGGAGCGCGCCGCGCGACACGACGCCGCGCCCTCCTGACACCACGCGCTCAACTAGGTACGCACTATGCACTAAATACGACTTGCTCACGTTAATATATATAACTCTACTACTTTCAAAATATGTCCAATGCTAAACGTTCGCCTCCCCAATGATGCATGCTTCGAAGTGACCAGCATCCAGCAACTTCCTGCAACCTTTACTAGGTCGTCTAACCACCTTATCTATTTGCTTGTACTCAAACAACTTACTCCCTCATGCTCATTTTATTCATGTTTCTCTTTCCTTCATTTTCTGACCTGGAGATTTATTTGGCTTCATATGCCTTGATCATGAAAAATCATAATTTATTTATTGTTGAGTAGTAAGTGTAATAATGTATGTACTATTGTTCCAGGCCACGTGGTTCCCTGTGTAGTGGGCCGGTAGTGTCGCGGTCCGCTGTAGTCATACATAACTTTATATTTATTTGGTACAAATGTTAGTCGCGGAGTACACGGCGTATGGCGGCATTTTATAGTAACCACGCTTCAGTGTACATACTTCAATACTCGGCTCGCTTCTCTTTATACTCTGTCTACCGAACTACTATAAAATGCTATCATAGAGTAACAATAATATTCTCCGTAACTGTATATTGTAGGTAAGTAAGGCTTCACTATAACTACAAAGTGCTCTGAATCTGTAGACTTATGTACTTAACTTGTAATCTGATATTTATTGTGACTCGGACACAACAAATGTATGTTACTGCGCCGCGGGCGCCGCGCTCCCTCGCGTCTCTAATGTAAGTATTATCGCCTTAAAGTATTCACTTAGATGTACAGTATACTTGTTATGACGCAATATTGGCTGTTCTTTGAGCCAGCATCCATATGATAATAAATTGCTTTATATTCATATAGATGTGGTCTCGACCCCCTATACAAACAGATAGCCTTATATCGCAATAGTTTATAGTGTCAGTCTCCCCGACTATAGCCAGTTATATGTGCGCGGGTATAGTCGAGGAGCCTGGGTGTTTGCCATTTTATACAATCGTAGAGGGAGCTCGGTGCGCGTGAGTGGACATTGTCATACTCTGATGCCAAATATTAGTTATATTGTAACTAATATATACATTTGTATTCTGTCGACGCCGCAGTCTGCAATGTATTGCGTTCTACTTACATTCTATTTTAATTAAATTGACTAAAACTTTATATGTTGAATTTTAAAAGTACAATTTCAAAATGTTTTGAATTGATTTTATTTTTATAGACAATTTTTATGTATTGTTGAGTTGTATGTGTATTGTAATAAGGTTGAAAATATAGTTGCAGGCTGTTCGGTCGGCTGTACTCTTAAAGTGAGTGTTGTGAGAGATTACACTGTAGCCGGCAGGGGGCGACACTGTCGCGTCTGTGTTGTGTGATACTGGACTGATACTGTACCATATACTCGACAACTTTGCTGTTTTTTAAACCTAATTTATTATTTTGTGTATTTTAATAATTTTTTTAATGAATTTTTATTATGTAAGGTCAGTCTTGGCGTCTCCAATTAGTCATGTTTTATAGTATAAGTAAGTAGTCCAGTATATGGCGCAGTGTCGCTGCGTGGGACGTGTGTACCAAGTGCCTCGGCGAGGTGTGTATATACATAGCTTTATGTAGTGGTACTGGTACTGGTACGATACTAGTCTATGTACAGTGTTGTTACATTGTTTTGTAATCTTGTATTCTATTAACGCTACTAGAACAGCTCCGACTTAGCTAGGTATATTTTGTTAAGCGTTTTACAACAAACACTTCAATAGGTAATCAAATAAACTATCGATTGTATAGCTAAAGCGATTTTAATTTGAAATGTGAATCTATAACGAGTAGCAAATATATTGTAAATATTATCATTTGTATCGACTGTAGGTGTAATAGCAATATTTAGCTAAGATGTGTTCAAAACTGAAAGGATTTTTATTGTATTATTACTTTGTAATGATAACCGCTTATTTATTAACTAGATTTTATTATTTATTAAGTTATTATAGGAAATGTATGAAATATACCGGTTTATTATAATTACCTCAGTAATGTCGTCGTGGGTGCGCCGGCGCAGGCCTCAGCTATAGTTATCGAGTAACAGTATTAATAAAGTTAGGTGAGAGACGGCCGCGGCGCCACCGGTGTGTGATTTTTTATAAAATTAATTAATTTTTAATCGTAGATAAAATTTGGATATTCTCGAAGTAAGGTTGCGCCGCGCGTCGCATGTTGTGAGCTAATGTTTACGTATACCTACATAATAATATCTCGCGCCTGTCTTACCCCGCATTGCTCATATTATATTCCTTACTTGAGTTAGCTGACAATATGCGACGCGGCGCATTTTCAAAATTTTTCATAAATAAATTGGGAAGTGAGGTATGTATCTACTTTGTATCGCGGCTTGTGAACGTGACGACGCGGGCGCGGGCGTAGGCCGGGGAACTGTACTCGACGCTATATCACTTGGCATATGATATCTAGGTAAATGTTATCGTTGTAAAACACCTCGTTGTTTTCTCTATAGATAGGTAAATATCGGAAGCACTTGAGTGTCGTTTTGACTTTCAATGTGCAAATTGTTATGATTACTAAAATTATACAATTGTTGAGTCCCCGGTCGTCGAGTCACTCACTGCTGCATACTGCGGCGCCATCTGTCGGGTACGGAGACAGACCGACCACCCGGCCTTCACGGGTCGGTCTGTGTATCAAACGTTGTAGTGTAATTGAGTGACTTGGTTCAGATGAAATAATGTATGGAACACTATTAGTGACGCGAGGAGACGGCTCCGTGTCGTGGTCGTGTCGTCGGCCGTTGTGACGTCTCGTCAATAAAGCGCGACTTAATATCATACGTACACATCATCGTTTCATTATCAATATATAAATAAATTATATATATTAGCTACATAAAGTTTGTATACAATGCAAGTGGAGATGGTTATTTAGTTAACTGTTAGTGTACTTATAGCTTTTCGACGTAGCTAATCAAGTTTTGTATAAAGTCGTTTGAATGACGTAGTATAGCCGAAGTGTCATGGCCGCCGTGCGGTCCCTTTGTATTCTACACGTTTTATATGTTCCCCTCTGTTAGCCTGTTAGTAGACGCTATCGTCCGGTTCCGAATACACCGCCGGGCTTGTTACACTGCATCAGTCGTTGCGTGCGGTGTGCCATGCCCGGCCGGTAGAGCAGCAACGAGAGTAACCTCCACAAGTGCCAAGTAACCGCCAGTTTGGAACGGACGCGACCGAACAATAACTAGAATAATTTCTCACATTCCAACAACTCCGATGACGCACTGTCGCCTGTCGGACCGAAACGAACAAAAATATTTCCAATCGAAGTCCCAGTGGCTCGCGCTACCAAAGAATAAAGTTACCTTCACGTTAAGGAGTATTGTAACATATGTTTATTAGTGAAACAATTGGATATGTATATAATTTGGCCTGTGTGTGCATAGCTTGTATAGTGAGGGCGCGCGAGTGGGTGCGTCGTCACCGTTCGCGTTACATTCCAAGGCTTTCCGTGTTATAAATGATCGCTTTGGCCCTGACTAGGTAATCGGTATATCGTTACAGGAGATCCCTTCTAACGGCCATTGTTTTGATGTCATAACGAAATTGTTAACTAGACAATGTTTATTTTGAGCAATGTAATCAGTACTAATGTGTAATCTGTACGTTTGTAAAAACGTTTATCAAAAGTGCGATGACGGCATACGTTGTGCATAATGATAAGAGGTAAATACAATTTACACGATACAACTATTTGTTTCATTTACTTACACACTACCTTTCTCAAGTCAACTTACAACTCAAATACCTACATATAATATTTATTCTACAAGTGCAAAAGCTGCGGCTATTGATTCCTGAGCACTGTGTCTTGGGTTCGATCTCCAGATTCACTACCAACCACATGTCTACACAGCTGAACAACGACTGAGAGTGAAGGGATGTGTCATAATCTCCTAATCAGATTGTGGTCTGGTAAAAGTACTATTGTCCACTAAAATATAAGTTTATCTTTTGCATAAATACGAAAATATGATGTTATGTTATTAAGAAGTAACCTATCCTATCGACTATCAGAATAAAACAACTAAGTTTACATTTGAGTTTTATTTTTATTGCCAGTTTTACTCAAATGTCTACATATTTTCTTCTTCAATTCTTTCTGTCGCTTCAGTTTACGCCACTCCTCTTCTTCCAGCTGCTTTTTGTGCTTCTCCAGGCGAAGTGCAGTCGCTGCCTTCTGCACTTCCTTTTTCTTCTCATAATTAGTTTTCAACATCTTCATAACATTCGAGATCTTCTGTTCTTCAGGGTTCTTGATCACGGCTATCCTATTCTTGAACTTATCCTTAGGATTCGTTCCAGACAATGTAGTTGACTTCTCTTTAGGTTTGAACCTATATGGCAAACCTTTCTGCAGGTTTTTAGGTATTACCAAAGGCTTGAACACTTTAGGCGCCCTGTTAACTTCAGTATACAATGAATCGAGGTTAGCATCGTTCTTGATATTCTTCTCCCTCTTAAGTTGTCCTTTAGTCTTCATTCCTTGCCAGGCGTTCTTAGCACCCACAGGCAGTAATAAGTTAACGACAGGCGCATAGAACTTCGTCACGTCCACTTTGTACCATGTACGACAGAACACAATGTCACTCATCAAGATTTTATCTTCGAAGGTCGCACGGAATGCTCCTTCCGGCTTGTTGAGCGCTTTCTTGATCTGCCCTCTGATACCCGACACGGTTTTCACTCGTGCGCCTTCAAACTTCGCAACCTCTAAAGTAGTTGTGAACATATCCTTGATGAAAGCTGTCTTCTTGTATATCTTTAAAGGAGTACCAATTAATTTCAACTTCTTTACTATTTGGGTAGACTTGTTAATTTCATTAACACTACCAGTAGCAGCTATCCGGAACCCAACTTGTTTGATTTCATTAGGATTGTTGTTGACGCTTTGTAATGCAAGGAAACCTGTGTTCTGTGGTGTGATGGGACCATAAAAGTGCATGTTACATGTGACATGTTCAGGCGTATACTTCAAATACCTGCATTTCATATCATCCTCAATCTTAGAGTAGATGGGTAAAGTTTGGAAGCGTCGCCACCCCAGCGAGATGATGAGAGGATCATTGGTCTTCAATATCTTCTTGTACCATCTGTGTTTCTTCACTTTACAGGATACAAAACCTATGTTCTGCTCAGCCATGTTGAGTGCTCCAATCAGTATTGGGTAGCTTGAGTCAAAGTTCGTCACAAACTCTGAAGGCATGTTCTTGAATAACATTCTGACATATAGCCCGGGCCTGAAACCTTCCACTTCTACCCTCAATCCATTATCTAAATTGTCAAACACTGATTTATTCAATTCTGATTGCTTTAAAGCTTCTGCTTTCAAGTTCTCATAGTAGGAGTGGTCTCCTTTTATCCTGTGATCGTCAGGGTTGTCATACTCTGAATCAAACTTAGCCTTCAACTTTAACTTTTTGTCCAATATTTCGGATTTGGTTGGTTCTGCTTTCCTCTTTGATCCGGGTTCAGCAGTAATCTCTGCATCTTCCTCTGCTTTGTGTTTTTCTCCAGTTTCTAAATCTTCAAAATCACCATATAGTTCTTCATCCTCACCATCACTCGCATCATCTAATTTCAATAGTTCTGATGCATCCTCATCAGCCGACCGTTTACCAGTTACAAAGCTGTTGATCAAATATTGTTTGTTTGTGTCACTAGTCCAATCCTTTAGATTTGGTTTGTCTAAAGAATAAAAGAATGAACACTCGTCTAGGTCTAATCTCTCCTTTTCTTTGTGCTTCTTCTTTTGTGTATCTGTGACCTTCTTAAACAGACCACCCAGCTCCTCACCTTCTTCTTCTGATTCAGACTCTTCATCTTTCTTTTTAGCTTTGTTTCCTATTTCAAAGTCACCATAAACCAGCTTCATAATGTTCTTTGATGTCTTTTGTCGCTGTAGGTAAGCTTCTGTGGCTTTTTGTCCTAACTTTTCCTTCCATTTCATACCAAAATCGTTCTCAGCCTCATCATCTGAATCACTGTCATTATCACTCATGTCACCTTTATCTTTATCATCTCCATCAACACTCTTTTCTTCACCATCATCATTATCATCGCCCTCATCATCAGAACCTGCATCTGAATTGTCATTATCCCATGGGAGTTTATTCTTTTTCTCTTTCTTTTCATCTATTCCACTGTCATTGTCGCTATCATTACCCTCATCTTCTGATTCAGAGGAATCTGACTCTGTTTTTTTATTTTGTTGTAAATATTCGTCATCTTTGACCATGTCTGGGTAGATGACTGCACCACCACTGAACAGTTGGAACCCTGACTCTTGCATCTGTTCATCAACAGTCTCCTTGGTTTCTACAACATTCTTGAGTAGAGCTTTCTTCTCATTTGTTTCTTCATCTTCCTTCTTATGTGAATGAGAGCCTTGTAGCTCAATGTAAACAGCATCTTTATCATAGACAATGCCTCCAACTCCCGAAAAAGGTGCATAGATCTGTCTCTCTCGCTCCATGAGATGTCGCTTTTTCTCACTGCTGGGGAGAGGACATGGGTCTGGTAGGTAGGACAGCTCACTGATTTTCATGTCGCCAACACCTGAAATAATTAAAAACAAATATTTTTATGAATTGAATACCTGAGTGTCTCTACATAATTATGAAAAGGATGTACTCAAATCAAATCAAATAGTAATATCAAGTAAAAATGTGTTTTCACACACCACATATTAGGACAAAGCTAAGATAAAGTCTAATATAATGGTTTTCATTATTTACCTGCAATATGAACAGAAGACTCTTTCATGAGTGGTACTCCTCTCACATACCCATACAACACCACATCTCTATTCACCTTAGCATCCTTCCTGATCAGCTCCTGACTAGTGACATCTTCCAGCCGGTCAGCAAGCACATAAGCATGGGTCATCCTCCAACTCAAAGGCCTGAACTTCATCACAGAAATGAACCTAGATAAATTCTTTATTTCATTCCTCAAGTATTCCCCGTGTATAATACCAGACAGGTAGAACAACTTGGCTCCAGCGTACACTTCAGTCCAAAACCTATGTTTCAGGGTCTTCTTTGTAGTCTTCAATGTTTTTGCATTCTTTATCATATCAAGATGAGTTAGTACACCCATAATTTTAGGCATACCGTGCACCTGACAGATGTTGAGGAACTCAAATATCTCCATCTCAAAACCGAAGCTGGCGTCACACAGTAACAACACCAAATCAGCACATTTCGCGATGTCAATCATAGAATTTACGTCGTTATTACATTCTATTAGCGTAATGCGGCGCTTCTTCGACGTCACAATTGTTATAGGACCGTTCGTGTTTGTTACATTGGTTTTTATAAAGCTCTTTATCAAATTATTGATGAGTGTTGTTTTACCGACTCGAGGTGGTCCAACAATCGCCACGACGATGGGTGGAGGCTCCAACGGAGTTTTATCCACTTGAGGAATATGTTGCTTCTTCGCAATAACATCTTCTCGTCTGCGGAACTGTCTCTCGGCTCTTACAGCAGACTGGATAGCAAAAGCTTTAGGATTTCTCTGCCGAGCACTTAGGTTAGATTGATCAACTTTGTTCTTATTTTTCTTCTTCTCTGCTTTGCGCCCAGCTTGCTTAGCTCGGTGCGACTTCTTTTTATCAAACACATTTTCGTCTGCCATATTAAAACTTTAAATTAACTTCAATTAAACATCACGTAATTTCAAAATAACCTCACGTGTTATTAATGTGAATTATGACAGCCGTCAGTACCGTGCCGTCGCAAAAGTGACATTAAACTGACAGATTGATCTTTTGCTGACCATGGAGTCATGAACTCTACGTAGCATAGAGAGAAAGAATAATTTTGTTTCTTTTGAGATCTCTAAGTTTGAGATTAACGATTATTATTTTTATTGAGCGAACATACTTTTAACTTAAAATAGAATTTTTATACAAAGCATAATTTTCATTTGGTCCTAGATCTAAGCCTAGAACCTAATAGATCCTTAAATCAATGATTGTACCGTTGTTATTTTATTTCATTAGTCTTGCAACACTGTTCCCAGTTGTCACTGACTAGAGCTAAAGAAAGAGATCAATTTTATATTTTTGTGCAAAAAATCCATTATTTGGATGATGAAAGCAAAAAACGCAGCTGTTAATGATAGCTCGCTAGTGGCAGATACAAAAGTGAATTAAACTGGACTATTATTATGACTTCTTCTGAGCTGGACAGCCGGAACATCGCCATATCGATGTGAGTAATATACGCATTTTTCCTAATTATAGAACGATTGTGTTATTGTATTCGTCACTGGACATTGTTTATATTGTTTGCTAGTTAATACTAGTTGCTCGTTAGTGCAGGCGACGTCAGAACTGCCTCGCTGATGATGATAGGTCGTTGATCTTTAAGACCTGTCGTCCCCGCAATGCAGATACTAAAATATCATCGTCAGTTTTGTAATTACCTTATAAAGAGTCTCATTCTATGACGAAATGTATTTTGACCATTTATTTAGTGTAGTCCCTAAATAGATAGTACATTCTCCACTCCTGTTCAGTACCAACTTTCTATGCCACAATGGCTAGTTAAACTAACAGTTGGTTTTAACTAACTATATCTAGATATTATACTAAAACTCCACACTTCCTTCCGCCCTTAAAAAAAAAAAATACTAAAACTCCACATTTAACTCTCATTTTAATGTGCTTGAAAGAAATATCAGGAATTAAAAATATCATCAAAACCTGAATGGTCTGGTACAGTGTAGGTATATTCTAATAAGAATCAAGATTTAGATTATTAGATAATATCTATATTTATTCAAGTAATGTATAAATAATACTTGTACTACTTCCAATAAACTTGATTTTATTTTAAACTTGAATATGTTAATTTGTTAATACAATGCAAATTAATTAAGCATTTATTTATTTAATGGAATTTATTAGCAGAATATGTAAATTAAATCCATTCAAACTATATTTTACCAAGTTTAAACATTAAGTTGGTGTTGTATAACATGAAAACTGGTTATAAAACAATGCTATCATCTCACAAACAGAGAAAGACTAACAAAAAATTATTATCAATGAAATAATTAAAAATGACAAATGACTTGAGTTAAGATATCTATCCACCTAATTAATAGACATTCAATAATTGGCATTATAATATTATGCATTGATAAATGGGAAAAGTGCTGTGAACAAATCAAATAGTAGCTATTGCACTTTCTTATATTAACTTTTAATAGTTCTAATCACTTTAATAATGTAACAATAGCAATCCAATAATTCTATCATTATTATTTGTTTATTTCTCTTTCAGTAGGATAGCAAATACCATCCTAGTAGATATGAAAAGGAAACTTTAGAAACTTAGAGGGTTTAATCTTTTATCTCTTCATTTTGTTAATGGAAGTATGATAAAATATTATTTACCTATTTTAATGCCTATCTATTCATTGAGAACAGAACAACTTAGCTTATAATTTACATATACATATAAATACACATAATTATTACTACCTAAAAAAATCATGTCAACAAAAATTTTAGCACCAACTATTCATATTCATATCTTTATTTGCATTCCATAATGTTTCTTAAGATGTTACATTGGCTTAAAGCTAAATTATTTTTTTGTTTACTCACAACATTATAGCACTTATAATATAAATCTTTAATTAACTACTTCTAGCCAAAGCTGTGACAAACTTGTTTAAAAGAATGACAATTAGTGATGGGATGATTTACACAGTCTTTGTAACTATAAACCATCACCATATAACAATAATCCATCTTGTAAAATGCAACTGTTCTCAGGAGAAAGTCTGTGGAGAACCTGGTGATATCATCACAAGATGCCATCGGACAGAGCATCAGCCAGGCGCTCACATTCTCGGGCGTGATCACACAGCATGCCAACAACATTATACCAGAAAATAGGTAAGATTTGAACAATGGCTAGCTATTATATTTTATTTTATTGTACTTAAGATGAATATTTATCACAAACTATTGTCCAAGTGTGAGAATGTTTCTGTATTTTTCTAGAACTAGGTATTTTTAACTTAGCACTATCAAGGATGGTAATAACTTTCTTTATAGGTATTAAAATTGTTATATTAATTACTTGGATTATTTCTTATGTTATTGGAATTGTGTAGGATATTAGTTGGAACATTTCTCTTGTGTTATAAATCCTATTGCACAATGATACTTTGTTTTCATATTTCTCACTTTTTTAAGAGATTTATTCGGAAAAGAAATTTTGTACCAGCTGGAAACATTCCTATTGCAGAGATTGACATATTAAAACAAACATTAGCCATGCTTTCTTATATCAGTACATTGTTATACACAATTAATTTGTCTGTTATCATGGTTTACTAAACAATTAAAGTGAGGAAGTTGTGAATAATTCATACACCCAGTGCTGATTACAAAAATACTACTGATAGCTATGCCTCTGCTCGCGACAATGGTCTTTTAATTCGACACCTACAAATGCAAATAAACAGTATATATCTAACCTTCATAATTTAATTAATCCTAAAAATACACAATACACATAACTTGAAATAATTATTAACAGAAATATTTATTTGTTTATTACTAGCTGTTACCTGCAGTTTTCACGATGTAGTCAAAGGAAAAAGTAACATATATTAATATGTATCACTCCAACCTTGAAACAAAACTGATTAACCTGACGAAAGAAAGACAAACAGTACCTACATACATTTTAATATTCCTCAACATCAACCATGTTTTCCTCCCATATATTAAATCTATTAACAAATAATTTACTCCAATTTATATAAAAATTCTGTATATTATATTCCTTATCAAGTTATCACATTGAAACATTGTGCTATACATAGTAATAATTTAATGTAACACTCATTATGATTTTTATATACTAAATAATATTGAATATCTCGTTGTCGTGAGTTTCCGTTATATTTGACCCGACAAATCATCAAAATGGTTACTTAATGCGTGTGTTAGATAGTGACACTCTGACCTGTGCGTGTGTGGGTGTTATTAATTGCATTATCTTATTAGAGGAGTGTTGATGTTTATACTATCGCGCATCGGGATAGTATAGCAGTGTCCTATATTTTTATCTTACAAATAAGTTATAAAGAAGAATAGAGAAAGACTCACTAATGTAACTAGATAAGAAAATACGCAAATGTGTACTTAACTTAAAAACGATTCAAAGATTTTACCGTATCCTCCTTGATTCCAAGCTTTACTGTTTGATCGTTTAATCACGCAATGTATTACCAATAAATAGCGTATTACTGTAAATTACATTTTATAAATGATCAACTCAACATAATAGATAACCACAGAGTCTAGAATATAAACACAGCTAGACTCACTCGCCTTTAGTTTGGATGGACAAAGACTGCCGAAAACGTTCCTTCTTTAAAAAGTTATCTATAAATATAACTCGTAGGAAAATAAGTACTGTACACATCAGTGTACAGTGTAGTAAAAATAATCATATTTTTAGTAGAACTTGTAGCGTGATCTATAATCGATATCGTCGACAAAATATACCTTATAGAATTTTTATCTTTTTGTAGGTATGTCCGAGCTGAATTCAAAATGTACTGCATAGATTTACTTCTTTTGCATCAATATTATTAACAGGTCGTAGCAACATAGGTATTATCACGCTATCACCTACGGGAGAGGAACTGTGAAGAACTATCGAAAGTCACTGTTCCACGCGGACGAAGTCGTGGGCACAGTAATAGTTACATTATGTGAGATTTAAAGAAACTTGTCGCTAAAATCGGTGCTTATGACAAAGTATTTCGAAATGGCTCCACTACGTGTTTATTTGTCAATGAGCACTTGTAATTTCCTCTCAGTTATATTAGCAACAAGGTTATATTTATTATTGTTACACTTTCACTCGCACAATAGACTCGCGCCGTGATGGGAAGGTCACGGGTTCAATTTAGTCAGCTGTTGTTCTTTTGATTTGGACATGTGATCGTGATTTGGAGCACTGTTCATTCGTAGTATGAGTCTCGCTGTGTACACCCCGTATTCTATAGGATTGCAGCAGGATGATGTTTATTAATCTGTCCTAAAAATCTGATTGTTAATTCGCAAAAATCTATCAGTTCTATTATTACCTTACGTTATATAGTAAACATTGTAATGTTTTCAAGTGCTATGGTGCTTTGTCCTAATTCTTTACCTTACCATATTTTTATCGTCGTCAAAATTTGTGAGATTAGTTTATGAGTGACACTCTCGCCCATTATTTTTTGAAAACTGTGAAGCTACCGCACCTGGGATTCTGGTGTTGAGGGGATCCATGGGCGGCGCTGATCGCTTACCATCAGGCGATCCGTCTGCTCGGTTGCCTTTTATTCCATAAAAAGCAACAATATTGTACAATTAGTCATAGTTTAAGTGAACGTCCCATATTAAACAGACAATGGTGACAACATTTGACAAACTTTAATAAAACAGAGTGTTTCCCTCTGTCAACTGAACGCTTCCTGTCATTAGCACGGTGATCTATTAACTTGTTAGTAACATAAATATGTTCATTGTGCACGTAAAAGAATTATCGATGTATCTATTGTTCTCACTGTTTCTGTCTCTACGCAACTTGAAGGGTATAGAGGCGTACGTGCGTACCTCATTAAAATGTATACGAAGGATAGTATCATAGAATAGAAATATTCTGCTATGTATTAAAGAAGTTAACAGGAGCATGAGAGCAGCAGTAGAGTTGACGCTTCAAAAGTCACTGTAGTGATTTAGTAGAATTTATCAAAACCTCAAATGCAACGGAAGTGGGAGACAAAATTTATTGAATTCTCAGCTAAATAAGACAGAAACCTATTACCAAATATTAGACAAGATGTCGGTCGGTTCGTCACCCAATTAAATATCGCCTGATTCAGAGGACTGCGTGAATATGTTTCGTGTTGGTATAGCTCATGATGCGTGACCGCCAGTAACCTCAGCAACGCGCGCCGCGGCGCTCATCTAAATTAATTAAAACAAGGCCGAAACGAATTACTAATCTTTAGCAATCCAAGTATAGATTTTAAAGGATTTATGCTATGGATCCTAAGAAAAATATAGATAGGTAAAAAGCTGTTATCTCCATAACAAACCGCTATGTTCAAATTTAACAGTGTTTGTTGTACTATACACTACTACAAGTACACTTTCAGCGAATAGTAACGGGATGTTGTCTATATGCAAATAATATCAACAAATTTACCTTCTCAAATCAATTTTATCGCAGGCACATATAAAAAATTTGCCTTAAGTAGACTTAAAGAAATGTAATCAACTTAATAATTATTTCGGGGAAGCACATTATTGCCGCAATCAAGTAAATACTGATTTCATCAGGTACAATCTAGATCAGTCGTGGATAGGTAATCATCAGGGATCAAATTGTTGAAAATATATCAAAGAAGAGCCAAGTGAAGTACAAAGCTAGTCTAGGACCACGATCATCCCCACGAGACGGGGATTCTGCCATAATCCTTCTGCCATAGTGATTGTGGCAAACCCCTTCTTAAGGTGGTCGCTATTTTTCACAATGGACTTTTCCGGCTATGGGCTACTGGCAATGTGAAGCCTGGTGTAAATGCTTTCGCAGGTCGTAGTTTGGCTTTATCACGTTCTTTCTAGGACGAGCATCCTTATTTAGTGCTTGTGTACTTAAAGGAAGGTATTTCCTTAACGTTACGTTATCAGGCCTCAGGTGGTTGCTCCCACTCGCCCGATAACATTATCTGTGTCGCTCTCTTTTGTAACAAGAAGTACTAGGGTCACCTATATTTAAATATCTGCTATGTAAGTTATTTGTCATGTCATGTTTGTGTACAAACAATTCAATAGGAAAATTGGCTCGTAAACAATCATGTATTGGTCACAGTTTAATATCTTCTTATTGTTGTTCAAAAGACACTGACTTAAAAGCAGAGTCTAATAAATCACTACGATTAAACAACAATTACGAAACGTTAACAATTAGATTATATTATGACTCAGTAAAAACATTTCCTAATGTTTTTAGGGCTGAACCAGAAAAAAATCACCCTGGTTGTCATCTGTTGTTAAATCCATATCCCTATACAAACAAATTCATTTAAAAGACCAACAACGCAACCATGTTACTTGAATACATAAATCCATAAATGATTAACTCACGCCAATTTCAAGTTGAAGTTTACACACAGAGCAACAACAACAAAAGAATAATTATAACAACTCATCACTTGACCTTCTGTTACAACTGCACTACGCACCTATTGTTTGTTAAATTTCAAATTGTAATTATAATGTGGATAAATTAAATGTACCGTCTTTCAACATATTTAGTTCCTAATATAATGTAATCGAATTTATTCGGGTTATAGATAGGTTTATCAAGCTTTATCTAAGTGTAATGATCTGAATGGTTGATTTTTCATTCATGTATTAGTGCTTGTGTCATGAAAGTGCGTGTTTTGTACTGTTTTAGTGATGGAAACTGAAAAGTTCCATGTGTTATTTACTCAGTGGGAGAATATTAGCAAAGCCTTTATAATAAGGTATGTATTATGCATACTGAAAATACTTGTTTTTGTTAAAATGGGGCTTATAGTCAGGGAATATTTAATACTTTGTTGTCGATAATTGGTTGCTATAGTTATTTATTGATGAATGGAATTTGTACTTCATTGTGATTGTACTTAAACTGTCAAACACCAAGCGGTCACCGGTGACCGCAACCTATTGTTCTATAATTGTGTCTACAAAACCGGTACTCGACGAGTTAATATCAGTAATATGAAATTGTGCTAGTACTTATTAGTGCCCTACACAAACAATCCTAAAATACATAATTATGGTATGATTGATAAATTGTATCGTTGTCTTAGTGGCCCCAGACGTGACCATGCGGCTTTGGATACGATAACCAAATACCACCTACATACTGAGAATGTAATAGGGATGTGAAAAACTACAAAAAAACCTATTTAGAAAAAGAAATAACGAGAATTTTCTATTACGCGATTACATACAATTCATTGACGTCATAATTTTGACGTCTACAATCTACTAAGCCTTTTTGTGAGTCATAAATGAGCTTGAATTTAAATTGAAATCAGTGAAATAAATCGTCATTGTTCTCCTAATCATATTATTTTATTATATTAAGAAATGACGGCCAGGTTCATACTTTCTCTCGATTATTTTATAAATTATTTTCTTTGATTTATCTAGGTCCTAATCTCAATTGATTACATCTTATGTCTTATAACAAACTGCATTAAAATTGGCTTAAGTAGTGGTTTAATGAGAACACTTAACCGACTTACAGACATAACTAATTTCGCTCTTATACGCTTATGCTCCGGCTCGGAACATAGGAACTCCGGAGAAGGAACGGGGTGGTTTTTAGTCAATAAGAGTCGCACTCCCTTCCGCCTCACCCAGGTGGGAGCAGTCGTTCGACGATTTTCCCCATTAAAAAAAAATGCTTATGCCTTGTTCGCACTATGCTAGTATTTTAGAGTATTTAGTAACACTCTGTCGCTCCGATTTTGGAACAGAAGCGAGAGGAATATACTAAACACTCGCTACTCGACTAAAATACTAGCATAGTGCGAACAAGGCATTCAGCAGAGAGAGCAGAGGATAGAATATACTGATATTTGATATTAGAGAGTAAACTTTGTAATAATATCGAACTTCAAAATACATA